GGGCGCCGCTCCCGCCCCGGCTCTCCTGGCGCCAGGGCAGCAGCACGAGGCGCAGCCGCCTGCTCCCGTCTGCCCTACCTGCTGCCAGGCCTGGGGTGAACCTGCCTCTGCCTGGGAAGAACAAAACGGTGCCATTCCCAGGAGGAGGCAGCCGTTACAGCAGAGCACAATACGCTGAAGTTAAGGGATAGCGGAGCAAGCCCCGGTGAAATTGCCTCTCTGACACTGCCGTCCTCCTGGCTGAGCAGCCTTGTCTCCATCAGCCGTAGCTGCAGGTGAACACCAGGCCTTGTCAACCCAGTGTTGCTATTCTTCCCCTGCAATCAAGAGCAGACTTGAATGAGATCAGAGAGAGTTTTTGGAAACAGGTCCTGCCTGACAAACTGGAAAAAGAGTGGGATTTACACCTCTGGGTGTAGGTTCTCTCTGAGCTGGTCTTGGAATTTAAGACTCTTGGAATTTAAGAATCAACCCATCCTGAATCCCCCAAGCTTTGCTAATTTATAACAAAAGGAAAGAAGTTATAAGTAGTATATCTAAGTAATTTTATTCTCATCTGCTGTCATCACACTTAGACACCTTGGATTGCATCCCGTAGCCCGCAAGGATAACAGGCATTGCCATACGAACTTCCTATGCCCTCCCTGACAGCCAACAACACACAGACTCGCCGATTCACCTGCTGTGGCATTACGTGCAATTTGGTGAATTTTATACTCTTCAGAACCAAGAGAACTTGTCCACAAACAGTTTAACTGAGCTACTGAAATCTCAGAATTTTCTTTGCCTTACAGATATCTTAGGCCAAAAAAAGTTCACAGAGTCCAATATCTGCAGTGTGCTCCAGGAGTACTTTCCTATTTCCAAGTTTATGTTTGCTTTCATAGACACCTGCACGCCCTTGCATAGGTGGTCAGAGTAGACCCCCAACCTCCTGAGATGCAGGAGGAGTACCCAAACATGTACATATCAAAAGCACCACCAACACAGGAGAACCAAAGAAAGCACTCTCAGAGGTTTCCTGTATTCTTCTATTTTGTATTCCTTTTAAGTACCCATTCAAGCAATATTCACTTAGGAGAGGCTTCCGTGAGCACATGCATATTCTTCTCTCCCAGCACCCAACCCCACAAAATTCTATAAGAAGGTTGTACTCGCAGCTGTAGGAGAATTGGAAGCTGTTTATAGAAAGGATTCGATGAAGTTTGACAAAGATACAGGAAGGTGGACATGTCTCAGAAGACTCTTGCGATATATGGCCCAAAACATGGCTGCAGGCTCTTTAATTATGCTTACGTAGAAGAGAAAGGAGGAGAAATTGCAGATAGGTGTAGTAATGCACTTTGGCTAATGCTGGATGGAAGGCAGAATTGCACAAGAGTGACCCAGCAGTGACAGGTTTGAAACATCCCAGAACAGCTGGGATGGTAAGTTCTAGAGGACTGTCTCGCTACGCTGCGGAGAAAAAGGCAACCTCTAAACACGTGCTGCTGCTTTGCCTCCCAGCTCTCCACGGTTGCCCCGCACGTGTGGCTCAAGCCCTGCTCTTTGCCTGTAGAGGAGGCTGGTAGCTGCAGCAGGCAGTGATGTGCCCTTCTTCTCCAGACCTCGGCGAGGAGCGCGGCCCAGCAGTGCTGCTCGAAAGGCCGTACCTTCCTGCGGTTCTGTGGAGCTACAGCGCATCTTTTCGTTCATAACTCGTTGACCAGGCAGGGCGTCGCATCCTGGGTTACAGTCGAACACCCAGAAATCACTTCTAAAAGATTTTTCCAAACGTAGGTACTTACTATACTTCTGCTTGCCCAAACTTTGGCTTCTGGAGGTCAGTCGCAGCAGTGGTGATGGGGTAGTGCTGGTACCAGCATTTTCAAATGGATTTTAAAATAAGCCCAAGTTTTCTTAAGAGTACCCAGAGGGTGGCAAGCTCTTTCCTCTTCACTTTCCCCCCACCATGAGCAGAGTTAAAGAGGGAGAAGAAAAAGGTGAAAGAGAATAAAAAACATGAATCACTACTTTCCTTAAGAAATAGGCATCATAGCACTGCCAAACGACTTGGAGTTGTGGAAGCAGAACAAGGACGCATGGGGGTTTCTCCAAAAAGGCAGGATTCGTGCTCTGCTCCGAGTTCACTGTGAACTATAACACACAGGCACAACTGTAACGGTCCCCACAGCGCCCATCTGGGAGCAGAGCTGGGGCTGGGAGCAGATTCGTGCTCAGAGAAACAAGCCCAGAAGAGGAGGCGCAGCAGGGTCACGTTCACCTCCAAGGGAAGAACACCTGGCCTCTACCTGCAGGTAAATAAATCAATAAAATCACATGTGGGTTCAGGCTCCTTCATTTAAGTGTGTGAATGACATCATTGTGAGCCCCTCTGCCAGGGGAATCTCGCAAAGCTGCTTCGGAGATGGATCGGGAAGAGAGCCAACCCACAGCGAGGGGGAACAGGCTCCTGCCGTGCCCAGGATCAGAGTTTGGCATGGGCAGGAGCTCGGGAGGAGGCAGATGACACCACATGGGGCAGCTGCCACGCAGGGCTCGGGTCTTCACAGCAGCTCTGTCTGCACTGAGGAAGAAGAGGGGCAGGCTCAGCAGAACCGCGCTAAGCAGATGGAATCAGGCCCACAAAAGAGTCATCCCAAATCAAGTCAAAGTAAGTTTATTCATGTGAGACCGATTTAGACATTATCAAATTTAAAACCTTTCCCCAACAAAGCACCTTGAGGAGACGGACAGGCCCAGAAAGGTCAAGGAGAAAAGCCCTGCAGACAGAAAGGCCTAGAGCTGGCGGTGAGCGGCCTCAGGGCGCCGCTGCCAGGCGGCTTGTGCTTGTGCTCCCAACACAGGGAGCGGAGCCCGCAGGAGGGACGGAGGCTCCGCAGGAGGGACGCGGCTCTTCACAGGACACCGTTTGTCCCGGGGCGCCTCTCCTCCTCGCCACCTTTGAATAGCAGCTTATCTAGCACCCGAGCCACAGCCACAAAGCTCATCCACGCTGGAATTTGAAACCACAGAGTCTCAGGCCCCGGGGCTCGGCAAACAGTGCCACCATCAATCCCGGGACTAAATTTTGAGGAGTTTTGATTCTACTTGTATAGGGGCTTGATAATGAGTATCTTAGGACACGAACACCACGCCCAGGGCATAATTCTGAGCACATGATGATAGATTCCCCATCCCTGGCTCCAATTATACTGGCAAAAATTGGAGCACGAATGAGAAGAGACAAGAACAGAATTCAGGTGCCTAATTGAGATTAATGGCATTGTTTTCCCAAGCACCGAGACCTTTTGCGGGTTAACAAAGAATGCAAGAATCACTTCCACCAAGACACACAGACTCTCCAAAAGTATAAAAATGGGATAACCGAGTTCCCCAGCAAGCAAAGCTGTAGGAAGAGCTGTTGTTGCAGAAGCAGCAATCACAAAGCAACCGCTCAAATGCGGAAAAACCTGTAAGGCACTAATAATGATCCACTTATTACAATCATCACATGACTAAAAACTGACATTCATAAATTAAAAAAAAAAAGCTGTACATTTTTAAAAGGCAATACTCCCTGTTAAAAAAACAAACTTTCAAATTTTCAGTTCCAAGAATTTCCCTGTCCTCCATTCCCATCCAGGCATCACTGATTAACTAGACTGAACATTTGATCAGAAATTCTGCCAGTTAGCAAACTCCTATTACAGTGAAACGCTTCAAGGCAAAGCAGAGAGCAATTTGTTGAGAGGCTACTCAGTGATCTCAGTAGTGTGACCAACAGATGAGATGCGGGAGGTGTCAGTCAGGCAGCCTTACTACAGAACTGGAAAACGCTGGGATACTACCATGCTATGTGCAATCACGTGTGTTCGTAACTGACTTGCCTCTATTTTTGTTTTCAAGGTGCAACTTGGTTTGAAAATCCAGCAGCTCAGGATCTCCCGTGCAGCCACCAGCCCAGAAGCACAGGGGAGACAGCAGCACTTGCTTATTTACGCTGTTCCGAGGGTAGGATTCACTCCCAGTCTGGAAGTCCCCATCTAAGAGCTGCCAGGTCCCTTAAGTCCCTTTAATTCAGCTTTTGATTCTCCTTTGCTGGACATGGACAGTCTCCCAATGGGAATGGAATCCGTGAGCCCAGCTCCCTTCACAGGGTCCCCAACAGTCCATGTTTGGTCAGTATTGATCAGATTTTAAATAAGAAACTGCTATTAAAAGTATTTGTGTCCCATGCCCGGTCCCCAAAGCCATTCAAGGATCCTTTGGAGACAAAGGTCCTATTAAAGCATATTTTCAGGGATCACAGTAAAGTGTTATACAAATATTGCACACTATTTGTCTACTTAAATATTCTGAAACTGAAATCTCATGTCCCAGAGATTAGTAATATTATTATTATTAAAAACAACAATAATGCTAAAAACAAATATGGAGTTATCCTCTCCATAAGAAGCTCCTGGAATACAAGACAGTTATAAGCTAGGGATAGTAGAGGTCCATCTGTGCAGAGACTCAGCAACAGCATTTTTGAAATACCTGGACAGCACAAACGTCAAATAATCATTTTTGACCTTTCTAGACTATCCAAGAAATGCACTGTATGATTTTACCAGCACAAAGCACCAAATCTCCTTGCAAAGCAGCCTCTCCACTGTCAGTTTAAAACACCTGACCTTCGGCCAGGACAACCAGAAATAAATAAGAATGAGCATAGCAGTGAGACCCCCCCAGCAGAAGATCCTAGCGTGGTTGCCGACAGGGAAGGACCCGGCAGGCCTCTGCCAGGCCTGGGGATTGCCTAGCTTAGATCAGCAGCTCGATGCTGTGGATGATCTCAGGCCACATTGGGTATTGGGTATTTCAATGCTGAGCTCACAAAAACAGGTGAGTCAAGTCTCGTGGAGCTGTTTGCAGTGAGTCCAGGCCTGGAGGATGTGACAAACAAGTCTCCCAGAGTTTTCGTTAGTCTCTCAGCTGTCAGGTCCGTAGGACAGTCCGTGCAGTGGAAAGAAGAGTCACCCGGGCAGCACCCGCTCGCGCAGAAGCAGTCTCATCTCCCTCACTATTAATGGCGAAATGAACAGGATTGTCGAACTGGTCTGTGAAAAGAAGCAAACCCAGGACAATAAGCACAGAGCAAACAGCGCCACAACCAGCCTGTGCTCCCCGCTGTGTTCAAGGCCTCCACAAAAGACCTGGTAGGAGAAGAGATGACGACAGCCCTGCAGCTGGTAGCACTGAGCAGGAAGGAGAGCACCTAGGACTTCGACTTCCCCGATCTTCTTTTCCTAAAGAGGTTGTGCTCTTCACCTACTCAGCGGCCTTGCTCCTGGCTGGCCCCGCAGGTGACCACAGTGGCTTTTGCACTTGCAGGCACAGATGCAAGGACGGCGGTGGGCACTTCCCGCAGACAACAGTGCACGATGTGCACAGCGTTCACCGCTGTGGCCCAGCTCAGGAGACCAGGGCCTGAACTGTCTCTTCTCCCACACAGAGGCCAACACATAAATTTTAAATTCAAATTCCTCATCATTCCTTTCATTAATCTCCAAGGGCTGATAAGCAAGCAGCTTAACTTCCCTGAAAATATTAGGAACTACGTACCATGGTGAAGAAAAGGGGGAAAAAAAAATCCTGTCTTGGAAGTCAAATGCAATTAGCTTTAGGAACTGTATACAGGTATTTATAAACAAGTATTTTCAAACCCCTCTCTGCAATGAGCCCAGCTGCCATTGGGCAACATGACCTTAAAGGAGTCAAAATGAACCTAGTTCATTTAGGCATCCTGAGGCAATGGCACAGCTGAGATCACCTTGGGAAGGGCAGAGTTTGCAGCTGCTGTGGTAACACCTTGTTTACCTAGGTCACAATTTTCAGGTTCCCACAAAAATCATGCTACTGCAGACTGAACTTTGACAAAAGAAAGACAAAGGAGATTTCTTACCATTAGAATAAAGAAATAGAAAACCCACATCCATCCCAGGTTCTCCTGGATCAGAGACACTAGATACTAAAAAGAGAGAGGAGAAAAAAAATACCAAAATTAGAAAGATAAGCATGACTTTCAGACATCACTCATTTTCTAGAAGTTATGGGCTGTTAACACTCCATAAAAAGATGCTCACAAAACCCTCCAGCTGATCTTTTCCTGACACAATAGGTGACTCGGGACAGCAGCCTTTCTGTATAAAACCTACAGTCTCAGCAAAGCAGAGATACCATTCTAAAGCTTTACAGTAACTCAGCAGCATAAAGACAGAACTGAACTACAGTTTCAAAGGTGACAAATTGACTCTATTGAATAGAAGTTTTTTGTGCAGAACACTGAGACATAAGTGGATGTAAGTACTCTCTGAAGAGCTAAAAGCCCTAGAACAGCTTGTAAATCACATAGGATGCATTTTCAAGAGCTGTGTAACCACTAGCTACTTAACTCTTCACGTAGGCAAGATACTTGAGACTACAGTCTGTTTTGAACCACATCCCAGTTCAAAAAAGGCTACAAAAGAAAATGTATCCTTATTAGCAGATTTATATTCAGTTGCTGTACAAGGGCCTCTCCCTCACTACTGCCTGTATCAGAAATTCAGATCCTGTTTTGTGCTAACACATTCATTGTGCATTTGCTGTTATTCATACACCCCCACAGTGACATCATGGCTGTCTCTTGAAATAAATGCAGTGTTAGAATAGGAAAGTCGGTGGAATTTTTCAGAATTAAAGGATCCAGTCTTGACGGTGACGTAAGTTTGAGTGGTATGTGTGGAGGAAGACAGAAACACAACATAATAAGAACACTGAGGGTAACAGTGCACTTCAAGATGTTCACAAGGCAGTTGCAATTTTCCATGTTTAATGGAACTAAGTGGCAACTTTGCTGTGAAAGATGGATAAAATATTTGTATTTAATGAGGCAATACATGACAAAAAAAAATCCCTTTTAAGAGCAGAAACTTCTGCTTTTTGTAAAAAAATAAATAAATAAAAACACAAATCCCTTTTTAAGAGCAGAAACTTCTGCTTTTTGTCCTTGTTATTTCACCAGCACTAGAGAGAGCCTGGGAGAGAACAGGCTCCAATCTTTCTACTAAATCCTCCTCTCCCCAAAGCACCACCGTGCTCTTCCACATAGTCATTCCTTGTATTTGAGAAATAAGGATGTCCAGCAGGCACCTTCCTATCGGCTTCCTTCCTACAGCTGCCTAGTCCTCACACCCCTGTGCACACTGTGAGGGCTATCAGCACACAAGGCACTACATTTACAAGGTGTAAGAGGCAGCCCTAGATAAAAAAAAAAAAAAAAAAGAATTGCAAATAAAAGTAAATTTTTAATCACCTAGAAAACATCATAAAGTTTGCGGTATGTATGTCATTTTTGGCTGGATGAATAGGTAACCTTTCCTTTCAACAAAGGTTTTTGCTCTTACCTTGCCTTTGGAAAAACAAAATTCAAAATAATTTATTTTCTGCTCACCTGGCCCACTGCAGCACCGATACTACCAGTTCCATCCACAATTCCTGTGACTGTTGCCAGGGCCTCGCTGCTGCCTTTGACCAGATCCTGCCGACCCAGGTCGGCAGAAATTGCAGAACTGATCATGTTAGAAGGGCCTCCAATGAAAAACCCTGAAATGGCCAAGAACGCAGCCTTGATGCAAAACAAGTAGAGGGCTTCTCAACAGAGCGTCTTAAAAACACAGATATTTCTATCACACAACTCTCGGTATCAGGATTTTACATACAGTGATCTTGGACTAATTGCGGGTAGAAGTTATCCCTTGCAGTTGAAGCACCCACTTCTATCTGAAATTATCCATCCTGTAGCACAGGCAGTGGCTGCAAACATGTGTCCATGCTCTACACAACTGATCACTGCTAGGTATTGCAGCATAAATCTATCTCCTTCATAACAAGATAGGGCAGAACTTTATAGTTCTCAGAACTTATTCTATACAGTCTACATTCTACACCTCCATCGGAAACTAGTTTTCCTAAAGCCACATCCCAAAAGTACCATAAATTGGACCTCAGCTTTTACTCCTGCAAAACCAGCAGAGACAGTGGCACATGCAAATGCATTTCCACCCCCTCATGTGGGGGGTGCTACTGATTTTTTCGCAATCAACGTACATTTCCGCAAGGGCAAGGGTGGTATTTTATACGATACCTGTAATTGCCATGATCACAGCATTGATAGGTTTGCTGTTTGGAGAACCTGTGGGAGAAAGATCATAATGTTAACAAAACAACTTTCTTGAGAAAGCCATTTATTTATTTCAGATCAGAAAGCAGCATGCAAATACCTAGTTTCTGCCAGTGCATCTGCCCAGTTTCCTTTTGTACTAAGAACAGTAACTTCCACTTCATGGAAGCCTTGTACAAAAAGTTAAGTCTTCCTGCAAAAGCATTTAGAGACTGACAGTCTCCCTAACAGTATTTTACAGAACAAAAACATTTTTTCCAAACATTCATGCCCTGCCTCTCTGATAAATTTGCCTAGCTCTGGCTTCCCAACTTTTGTTATGCCTTTTTCTTGAGAAGGAAAAATCTCATGTTAAATGCAAACTTCAGAGAGACTGTGTATTTATTCTCCTTGAAAAAAAAAAGAAAAAGTCCATCTGCCTAGTAAGAGAATCCTTTTCCTGTCTGAGGAAGTGAGAGATCCAAACTCCAACTCTCTCATCATAAAAGTATTTCTTTCAGCACTTGAATCATCTTTCCCAATTTTTCACCTTTTTAAAATGGAGATGTTAGTTATTGGATTGCTACCTCCAAATTTTATCTAAACAATTCTGGGCAAAAGGATAAAAAGACAATAACCAATCTCCTTACTCCTCTTTACAAAAAAAGAAAATAAACACACAGACACACTTCACTATCCAAATGTTCTGTCTGCATTTCCAGGAAAAACATCCTACTATGCATAGGCAGTTGCTTCTCCCCTATAATTCTTCAGGGCTTCTCAGAATTCATGTTTTTCCCAGTATCCCACTTTGAGTTATCACCTGAATTCCTTAATCCCAGCCACAACTTAGGTGAAGTTGCTTAGGTGAAGATAAAGCAAACTGTAGGCTGTAATGTATTCTTATCCTATTTTCACTCTGATGTGCATCAGGCTAAGAGCATAAAAATGGATGGAGATTTAATTATACAGTGCAGGAACTCTGTATTGCCCAAGTCTTCTGTATCTGGCCGGGCACTAGAGCATTTTGAATTAAGCACAAGACACCTGCAACTCTGGCTGTTCTGCTGTCAGCAGTGATTTTGTATTTGCTTCCAACTCACTGATGAAAGCAATGAGTTAGCACAAGGACTTTAAACTCTACTGAACACCACCAAACCTGACCCTTAATATTTAAGAATAATTCCCCACTAATTCCCTACCGACCTTACTTTGAGACCAGCTAAGGCAGCACGGGTCAGAAAGGCTTGTTCTACCACACATGTGTAGCTCTGGCACCGATTTCTACCGAGACCTCTGCTCTGCAGAGTGCTCTGCAGAAGGTGGTCTGCATTGCCACCCCATTTTTACTACCAACAGGGGAAGACAAAGTGCAGTGAAGTGACAGGTAAGGGAGTTAAAGCAGGTTAGGTGGTTCTGGTACCTCTGGAGAGCAGAGTACTACTGCACATGCAAACCCCTTGTGCCTACAATAGCTTCACAGTCACTGCTTCACAGAAACTAGATCTGTCTGCTCTTTTATTCAGTTTTCTTGCCAGGCTGCTTGCAAAAGACATCAGTCAACAAGAGCTCTATCTACTGCAAGAGAAGGGGAAACTCATACATTTCGCCACATACAGAAGCACAAGTGGCAAAGTCTAAAAGCTTCTGCTGCTTTGTAGTAGATAGAATCCTGCAGAGCTCTTTCCC